TTTGATGTCTTGCTTTTCCTTTCTTGGAGCGGGACGGGGAGCCCAGCTGCAAAAGAGCCCTGAGGAGTTAAGGATCTTATTAATGGGATTGGCGTAACGGTGGTGCCAAGAGGTCTCACCGGAGATCGGGGCTCTGTTGTCCTAGGTACAGCATAGACGCTTAGGCGTTGTCTGCACGAGCAAGTGGAACCTTTTTAAACTATACCAGTATAGTTCAAGCAGGTCCATGCCCAGTGTGCTCACAATTATACTGATATTGCTAATTCCCAAACAGGAAGGGGGGATAAGATGTAACCGTTTACTACTAATCCCTAGCTCTCATCTAGTACTGCTCATCAGCAGACCTCAGAGCCCCAGGTCAGTACCATTATCTCCATTTTACAGACGGGGAAACTGAGGCACGGGGGAGGGGGGGAGAGTGAGTTGCCCAGGCCAGTGGCAGAGCCGGGAATAGATCTGAGTCCTAGTCCAGTGCTTTAGCCACTGGGCCACACTGTCACCGCTGTATCACTGTAACTATGTCCACGCTCGGGTTGGTCCTGGTACGTAACTGTTTCTTCTGGTAGAATTATTACAGTGACGAAGAACGATCAGACCCCTAACCAGAATAGTGGCCTCGCTTGGCTGCCTTTGCCCCAGAGAGCTTACAGTCTAAATAGACCAGATGAACACAGGGTGTCAGGGGACACTGGGGGTCAGGGACACAGCTCTCATGTCTCCTTCTGCTGCCACTCCTTGTTTTGTTCTGTTGTTTTTTACTGTTCGATTAGGTGATGCGGTTTAATTGCGAACTAGCTCCTAGACGGGGTGGGGGGGGGCCCGATCATGGATTGGGCATGGTGGGAGCCTAGCAGGAGGCGGGGAGCAGGGAAAGGTGGACAACCGCTGACGCGAATGTGTCCCGAGAACAGTTCCCGCGAGGCAGGGGGCGGGGGCGGCTGGGGGCCGAGCCTTCAGCCCCGAGCCAGGGTGGGGGAGGGCAGGAGGCGCAGCTGGAGGAGGCGGCTGCTTGGGGGGGTCGGAGCAGCTGCCCTTCTCCTGCGGTGCTTGGGAATGTTTGGTGGCCACCTGTCCTGTTCTGGCGCCCTCCCGCATTTCAGCAGGGCTGCCTGCTCCTCCCTAGCCCCCTTGCTACTGCACGTAGCCGGAGGCCTCGGTCCCTGCTGGTGCTCCTGTGCCCAGTGCATATTTGGGGGGGGGGGATCTCCTTGGTGTAGCTGTGCCGGGGGACCCCCAGTGTGGGAGGTGTCAGTGGGGTCTGGCTGCATGAGGGGTTAGCACTTATTTAGCTACAGACAGTGCTAATCCCCCTGGCCTAGACCAGCCTCTGGACACTGCTCCACCCCCGCCCCTCCTTATACCTGGGAGGGCTTCTCTTCCTGCCCCCTTCTGCTTGTGCCCTTTGTAAGGGGGGGGGGCGAGGCGCTTGCTCCTCTCTGCTGCCCCCTCTGTTCACGGTGACGGGGGAGTTGCCCTCTCTCTGGCACCCAGGGGAGAGGGTCCCGGAGAGGACAGTGTAGAAGAAGTGGGTGTGGCTCAGCCCAGCTCAAGTGGCAGAGCGGAGGGTGGAATCCAGGTACATGTTGCTCCCTGGTTGCGGGAAGCCGGTAGCTGATTTTCAACTGGAGACGACGTAGGCGGGGATGTCCATCTAGATCAGTGGTTCTCAAAAGTTTTGTCCCGGTGACCCCTTTCACACAGCACGTCTCTGAGTGCGACCCCCCCCCCCCTTATAAATTAAAAACACTTTTTAATATATTTAATACCATTATAAATGCTGGAGGGCAATCGGGGTTTGGGGTGGAGGCTGGCAGCTCGCGACCCCCCCATGTAATAATAACTTGCCATGGTTAATTCATTTCTCCCAAAGCCTCTTCCACGTTCCAGCCATGCAAGGCCCCTGGTGTGGAGCCGCTGGGGGGGTCACGATCCTTGGCCTGCTCCATGCTTCCTTCCTGGGCAAATAGACATGAACTATTGACAATCGAGGGACAAAGCGTCGGCTCCAGCTTGGGTCTGAAGAGGCGGGCTCCACCCAGGGCTCGGGACTCCTTTGTGGCCGCGCTTCTCCTCTGCCAGTCAGCCAGTGCCCCTGGCGGGAGTCAGCTCCCAGCTCCAGGCTAATCTCGCACAGGGGTGCTGGAGGCTGGCTCCCCGCTCGGGCGGCCCAGTCACAGTGGAGCGCCAGCCAGGCTGGGTGGGGAGCAGCAGTAGCAGCGGCATGGGCAGGGGGAAGGAGAAAGACATTGGGTAGCACCCATAATCCTTCTCCCTCCCTCCACCCCGCATCCTGCAACTGGCATTTTCTTCTCTCTGGTGGGAGCCGTCCTCACTGGGGACAGGGCAGGGTGTCCGCTGGCATCCTTGCGCCCGCACTAATAGCAGGGGGGCATTGAGATACGAAGCAGCTGTTTTGCTCAGCTGGGATAATGGCACCCCTCTGCTTCAGGGCCATTCCCACCTCCCCTCCCATGCATGTGGACAAGGGGGATCCAGTGGACATCATGAACGTGGACTTTCAGAAAGCCTCTGACAAGGTCCCTCGCCAAAGGCTCTTAAGCAAACCAAGCAGTGTCTTAACGAGTCATGGATCGGTGGAAGGTTAAGACAGGAAACAAAGGGTAGGAATAAATGATCCGTTTTCAGGCTGGAGAGAGGAGATCCCCAGGGGTCTGTACTGGGACCGGCGCTGTTCAACATATTCGCAAATGATCTGGAAAAAGTGGTAAGCAGTGAGGTGGCAAAGTTTGCAGATGATTCAAAATTACTCAAGATAATTAAGACCAAAACTGACCGCGAGGAATCACAGAGATCTCACAAAACTGGGTGACTGGGCAACAACCTGGCAGACGAAATTCAGTGTTGATAAATGCAAAGTAATGCACGTTGGAAAACATAATCCCAACTATCCATACAAAATGCTGGGGTCTAAATTAGCTGTTACCATTCAAGAAAAAGATCTTGGAGTCATTGTGGAGAGTTCTCTGAAAACATCCACTCAATGTGCAGCAGCAGGCAAGTGCGAACAGAATGTTAGGAACCATGAGGAAAGGGATAGATAATAAGACAGTAAATATCCTAATGCCGCCATATAAATCCATGCTACGCCCATCCCTTGAATACTGCGGGCAGTTCTGGTCGCCCCATCTCAAAAAAGATCTATTAGAACTGGAAAAGGTACAGAGGAGGACCACAAAAATGATTAAGGGTCTGGAACAGCTTCCGGCTGAGAAGAGATTAAAAAGCCTGGGACTGTTCAGCTTGGAAAAGAGCCGACTGAGGGGGGATGTGATAGAGGGCTGTAAAGTCATGAATGGTGTGGAGGAAGTGAATAAGGAAGTATGACTTACCCCTTCTCATAACATGAGAACTAGGGGGCACTCCATGAAATGTCTAGGCAGCAGGTTTAAAACAAACAAACGGCAGTACTTCTTCACACAACGCACAGTCAGCCTGTGGAACTTGTTGCCAGGGGGTGTTGAGAAGGCCAGAACTATAGCTGGGTTCAAAAAAGAACTTGGATAAGTACATGGAGGATAGGTCCACCAATGGCGATTAGCCAAGATGGGCAGGGCTGCAATCCCATGATCTGGGCATTCCTAAGCCTCTGACTGCCAGAAGCTGGGACTGGATGACGGGATGGATCAGTCGATAATTGCTCTGTTCTGTTCATTCCCTCTGAAGCACCTGGCATTGGCCACTGTCAGAAGACAAGACATTGAACTAAATGGACCGTTGGTCTGATCCAGTATGGCCGTTCTTCCCCTCCCCCCCCCACGCTACCATTCAGCTGCCTGCTACCCGCTCCTGCAAGACCCGAGATGCACCCTGCAACCTCCTCCCCGGGCCCTGGAGCGGAGCGGGGGTAGCGAGACAGGCAGCGGAGTGATTCCTGTGAGGCACCCTGTCCTGGGCCGAGAGAAAGGGGGGCATGTCCTATTTCCCCAGGGGACTCTCCATCACAAGCACGGGGACCCTGGTTGGCTTGTACATCCCAGCACTGTGCACTAAACATCCCGCTCGTCATTCGTCCTGCCCTGCGGGGTGACTTGCCGGAGCCCTGCCCCCCCCCCCCGCGTGGGTAAGGGGCACCCCCCCCCCCCCCCCACCGCCCCTCCGTGCAGTGATCGCATAGGGTGAATTTTTACCAGCCGGACCGGGCCCCGGGTGGGGCGGAGAAATCTTCCTCCATTTGCGTTCCCCTATGGAGCCTCGCCCTGCCACCTACCCCTCTTTCTGCTAGGGCCTCCTCCCCTGCCCCCCCCCAGCCCCCCATCCTTCCTCAGGTGTGTCAGCACTGGAGAGAGGAGACAGGCATCCTCGCTGAGCCGCCCGCTCCCCCTTCCTTGTTCTCCCGAACGTTGCCGCTAAAGTGAAAAGACAGCGCAGCGCTGCTCATGCGGGAAGAGCTAATCTGGACTGACATCAAAAACATGTTAATTCATGGCAGCGAATTATCCGTCTCATTGTCCGTGCCTAGAAACAACAGGGTATTCTGTTCTTGCAAAGGAGAGGCACTCATGCATTCAGAATGTAAAACATGGCTCTGGAATCGCGCCTTCAAAGCGGTGCCAGGAGATTGCCAGCGCCGGCACCGGGGCCCTCGCCACGCGCTGCATTCTGGTGTCTGCTAGCCCCAGCTGTTCGGCAGAGCCATGGTTGGGCCAGGGCGCTGGGTGGGCGCAGGCGGTGCTCTGCTTTCCCCGCCGTCCCTTGTTCCGTTTCCGCATCCCCTGCTGGTGCCGTGTTCTGCCGGGTCCTTAGCCCCTCTTGTGCCAATCCCCCTTTGCCTGATGTAAGGCTGCTCACCAGGGCGTAGGAATCTGGCTTCCTGTCGACTCTAGTCCTGTGGCGCCAGTCAGTGCCCCTTGGCATCCTGCTGGCTCTCATCCCCAAGCCCGCGGCCTCTCAAGTTTGCTGCTGTCGGAGTGCTTGTCTCCTGGTGCCCGCAGCCTCTCCCTGGGGCAGATCGACATTCACTCCTTACTCTCTCCCAACAGGCCAGAAGAACGTCCGTGTCACCAGCCTGCTGATCTGCCAGGGGCTCCTGTGGGTTGGCACGGACCAGGGCATCATCGTGTTACTGCCTGTGCCCAGGCTGGAAGGCATCCCCAAAATCACTGGTGAGTCTGCTCTTCTGGTACGTCTTGCCCCTGGGAGTTGGGCAGAGCAGAAGGTTCTCAGCTGGGCCAAGAGGGAGATCGTCCGCTCGGCGTTGGTGCTGGCGGACTCCTGCCGAGCTAGGGCTAAGCAGCACCCGGGGGACTGGTGGAGAATCGCTGGGGGACTGCGGAGATGTTGCAGCTGGCTCCTTCGCACGTCCCGCAGGGCAAGCAAAACGCTAACTGGGATTGGCCTGCTAAACCCAGGGTTGTGTGTTCAATCCTTGAGGAGGCCATTTGGGGATTTAGTTGGGGATTGGTCCTGCTTTGAGCAGGGGGTTGGACTAGATACTTCCTGAGGTCCCTTCCAACCCTGATAGTCTATTCTATTCTATTTGCAAGTGAAGCGAAGGGACCATGGCCCTCCAAGTCCCATGGCATCGCCGTGGCATTTGGACACGTCTCTCCCTTGGATTCCTTCGCAGATCCCAGCCGAGACCAAACGCCTGTCGTGCTGCGGGCTCTGGGCTAGCACGTCTGTTTTGTCAGCTTGCTTCGCTCGCCCCGGAGCGTGTTTCCACCTCCCCCCCCCCGCCAGCTCACGCCAGGATCTCGCGGCTCAGTGCTGGGGTGGGACGCCTCCCAGAAAAGCCCCAGGCCCCGCCGTAGGTGGCGCCGGTGCCTCAAGCAGCGCTCTGCGCCGGCGGTAAATCGATGCCCTGACCCGCTGCTAGAGGGCGCTGTGCTGCTGGAAGCGTTGACACGTGCATGGGTCTCAGGACTGGAAGCCCTAAGCGCTGGTTGTTCTGGAATGTCCCGTATTTATCCATGTGTTTGCATGACCCCCCCCCATCCCAGCACGTGGGTGCGCCAGTGCATTTCTGTGCCCTCTTATGGCCCTCAGGCACACCGTGTCCTGGGGTGTTGCTTTGTGTTCAGGGGCACGGTCCCTCCCTGGGCTGAGCCCCGGACAAGCTGAATGGGACCACAGAGGTCTGTTGCCCTGTGGCCCACCCTGGGGTGCTCATGGAGGAGACCTTAATGTGCGTCGGACCTCCCAGCCCCTTCCAGCATGGGACACGTGGGGCAAAAGGCCAAAATGAAACTCCTTGGGTCCTATCTCAGGCAGCAGCCCCATTCTCCCTGGCTCAGCCATTGGGAGCCAGGGTCATGCCTCGCTGCACTTGGGGAAGGAGAGGGCATGGTAAACTCCAGGGATGAATTAGAAGGGCTGCAGGTCAGGACTAGGCTGCCCTGGTGGAGCTGTGGGTACCAGGGCTGGAAACGCTCTGTATTTCCCCTCTATCTCTCCCCCCTGCCCCTCCACCCCCCAAGCAGGTGCTGCTAAATGTCAGCAAACCGCCCCACTCGGGCACCATCTGATCCCCGAGAGAGGACGCGTTACCGTCGCTGGGTCAAAACTGTCTCCGTCACGACCACAGCGGGTGGGCTGCTGCGCTTCCCTTTCAGGGCCAGCCGCTGGGACTTCCCAGCATCCCCCCCATTAATAGGAACCTTGAGTCGCAGCGCGGGGGGCCAGGGGGCTCAGCATGTAGTCAGGGAACAGGGAGCTCCAGGGGCCACGAGTGGGAGGGGACTTGGGACCATAGGTAGAATCCAAGGGGGTGGAATGGGGAGCCATTGGCTCAGATGGGAAAGGCTGGGTGTGGCATAGCCAGACCCAGTGGGTGCACGCGGCACGTCGGCCCAGATCCTCTTCATGATTTCAGTGGAAATGAGGAGGATTTGGGCCGTTGGGCCTGCTATGGAGCTCATGCACGGCGCGGAGGGCTGAGCGCGCTGGCCCCTGCTCTCCTGGCCGGCGCAAGGTTAACGGCGAGGAGCGGAGAGCTTGGGGCCCGTCTGTGCATCTCAGAATAACGTGCCCTAGTTATCGAGGCAGCCGGAGCCACCGGGACTCGGCAGACAAGCCTTGCAATATTTATGAGGCGTGAACTTGATTTGTTTTCTGAAGCGTTTACTGTTAATAAAACCTCTCTCTCTCTCGCTCTCCTCCCTGCTCCTCTCCCAGGCAAAGGCATGGTCTCTCTGAACGGCCACTGTGGCCCCGTGGAATTCCTGGCCGTGGCCGTCAGCACCCTGGCCCCGGACGTGCTGAAGAACGACAAGGAGGAGGAGGGCGGCCAGGAGGAGAAGCCGGACAGCCCGTCTCCAGAGCCATCTGCCCTCGACAAGCCCCCGGCCAGGGAGATGAGGAAGAAGGGGATCCTCTTGCAGTACCGTCTCCACTCCACCTCCCACCTGCCCGGGCAGCTGCTCTCGGTGAAAGAGGCCCCTCCGGCGCCAGGCGGGACCGCCCTGGAGCACAGCGAGGAGGACGGCTCCATCTACGAAATGGCCGACGACCCGGACGTCTGGGTGCGGAGCAGGCCATGCGCCCGGGACGCTCACCGCAAGGAGATCTCCTCGGTGGCCATCATCTCCGGCGGGCGGGGCTATCGGAATTTCAACCCCAGCAGCAAGCTGCCGGCCTGCAGCGAGACGGACAGCACTCTTCTCATATGGCAGGTCCCTTTGATGCTATAGCGTCGACAGCATCCGCTACCCACAACGCACCACTTAGGGTGACTAACTCCGGCTCCGGACTCATGCCAAGCCCCATGCGGAGCGGCCTGCACCAGGGCATGCTGGGATTGTATCTGCTACTGTCCCAGGCCGACCTAGGGAATGACTTGCCCGCTGCTCAGGAGGGGGGGCAGCCTCTTCCATTTATCAAACAAATGAACACCCCTCCTCACTCCCCTTTTTTTTAAAGACTTTTTTCAAATTTACGATGATTTTTCTTGAGAAACCAGCTCGTTTTCTGGGGGGTTCTTTTACCGTTCTGGGGTGTGTCGGGAGCAGCACCCTCCCTGCGGGCTGAGGAGGTTTGCTGAGCTCTTGGGCGCATCCGTGAGCGTCTGTGTGTCTGTGTGAATATATGAATATATATATATATAAAAATCTAATTCTGTATATTATTACGTGTATAAATAAAACCATCTGTATATATTGTGGCATCTGGAGGCGCAGGAATAAAAAGGAGGCGCACGTTGCAGCCCGACGGGTACTGTGTTCTCTCGAGCTTTGTCGGCCGGTTCAGCTGGGGGCGCCCGGCGGACAACGTGGCGCATGTACCTCTGGGCCTTGGTTTTGAGCCCAGCCACGAGGACTTACACCGTTTCAAAGGATACCTGCTTTGGCATAGGGACGAACCCCGCAAGCTTTCCACGTTTTCCATGACGAGCCAGACGGCTCCCCCTCCTGAAATAGTGGGGGTCGGGCCCTCAGCTGGGATGTGGGAAACCTAATTCCAGGTCACATGAATCCTAGAAGCATGGGGCTGGACGTGTCCTTGAGAAGTCACCAAGTCCAGGCCCTGCGCTGAGGTACGACCAAGAAAATCTAGACCATCCCTGACAGGTGTTTGTCCAACCTGTGCTTGAAAACCTCCAGTGATGGGGATCCCACAGCCTTCCATGGTAACCTATTCTAGAGCTTAACTACGCTTATACCCCTAATAGCTAACCTATATCTCCCTTGCTGCGGATTAAGCCCGTTACTACTTGTCCTACCTTTAGTGGACATGGAGAACAAGTGATCACAGCCCTGTTTATAACAGCCCTTCATGTATTTGAAGACTGTTATTAGGTCTCTGCTCAGTTGTCTTTTCTCAACACTTAACATGCCCAGTGTCCCTAGAGTCTGTTTGTCAGAGGGTGGAGATGGATGGCAGGAGAGAGATCACTTGATCATTACCTGTTAGGTTCACTCCCTCTGGGGCACCTGGCATTGGCCACTGTCGGTAGACAGGATACTGGGCTGGATGGACCTTTGGTCTGATCCAGTACGGCCGTTCTTATGTTCTTATGACCTTTTAACCTTTCCCCGTAGGTCAGGTTTTCTAAACGTGATTCTCCCCTTTTCTCCTACATCTCAGGTGAGCGCCATAACCATGGGGCTGCGTGGGCAGGAGGGTGTTTGGAGCCGGAATCCCATTCTGGACAGGAGAGAGCTTCCTGACTAAAGTTCTCTTGAAACCATCTCTGTCGCAGGAAATGTTTCGGGTTTGAGAAACCAGCATTCCATGATGAAGAAACGTTTCATTGAAAAATTCCTGACCGGCTCTAGTCTGGTTGCATTAGGTTTCTGTTGGGCAGGTGCTGAAATTTGTTGAGAGATCCGTCTGTCCTTGTGGTCAGTGACAGCAAAGGCCTGGGCTTAACTAAGCTTGGCCACTAGGTCTCTCTTCACGGCAGAGTTCATTCAAGCTGACTACACTCGAGTTACCCATCCACGCTGACGCTGCACTCGTGTGTGGTGCCAGGACTTGGTGGGGGGCATATCCCATGGTTCTTAGCGCTGCAGGGAGCTGAGCCGGGAGTTTTCCCAGCGAATTGTGGGCGAATTCATCTTGTCTTTCTGGGCGCACAGTGGGAACCGTGGGAAGGCGTTGGAGGAGTTGCCGCACTCGCATGACACTAGGCTGGGGCCGCACTCCAGAGTGGCTGCGTTCAAAACAGCTCCGTTGAGCTCACTTGGGTTTGAGCCTCTACCCCCCTCTGGTGCCATCCAGCTGGAGTGAAGTGTTTGTGTGTGTTTGTGTGTGTGTGGGACTCGAGTCGGGGGCAACACGTGAGTGAATTCTGCAGTGAAGACCAGTCCGGTGTGATCGCCTTGTCCCCTCAGCCCTGAACAGAGGGGATTGGGTCTACCTTCTCAATGGGGAGCACGCTGGGGGAAGCTTGCTTTGTCGTTGACTCTATTGGCACAGAATTCCAGTCTCCAGGCCTGCCAAGCCGACTCCCATCTCATCGGTGCAAACGCTTGAGGCCTAGCTAGGTGCGGCCGTCTCCCTCACGGAGCCCTGCTATTGCTGACGGAGGGTTTCCTTTAGCTCGGACAGCAAGGACCTGCTGTTTCAGAGGCGAAGGCCGTGGGCTGTGTTGTGTGCAGATGACCTGGTCGTCTGCAACACTGGAAACGGGGAATGGGGGATGATACTAGAGGTTCTCTCTGGGATAAATCCAACCACCTAGGTCCTTGTGGTGACTGGAGATCCCCAGCATGGGCTTTGTGTACAGAGGGCAGTTGTTACGCTTTGTCTTGCCAAATTCCTACACGTTGGTTGCCTCCATCCCGCCTGTGTGTTTTCTAGCTGGAGTGGGATCCTCTTCTGAGTGCTCTGTGGTGCCGAACAGCTGTTTTCATGCCGTTCGCTGTCGGCCCCCCTGTCGTGAGTAGTGTGGATGATGGGACGGGTGCCGCTCTGGCTCTGGTGTCTGGGCAGCGAACTGTGCTGGGAAGTGACGCAGTTCCCTGAGCTTCTGAGAGTTTTGCGTGGCTTGTGTCAGAGCAGTTGGCCTAGGCTTGATCTCTAGCCAGGCCCAAAGATCCGGAAGGCACAGGGGGGGAGAAGCCCCTCCCCACACACACACATAAATGAACTCTTGTTGAGAACCCGCGCACAGATGGGAGTAACCTATGTCTTTGTCGCTAACGATGGTGCTAGAGTTGGTGCCCTCAGCAGAGATTCTGCGCTGTTGGATGTGCCCGCCGGCAATAGCATTGGGAGTTCTTATTGCAAACCCTGGAATGCAGTTTGTGGTGCAGCCTGTGGGCACGAAAGCCTTCAGCGTAGCACTGGTGGCTGGCGTTGCAGGTCTTTGGAAGGGGAGCCAAGGATCTGGACTTGGTCTGTGCCAACAAACCTCTTCATTGAATGGGTTTAGCGAGGGCTTGTTACTTAACGAGCCATGGCGCTTGGGGAGTCTAAACAGCCTACGCCTGCCCCTTTGTTGGACGCACACCACAGGGCAGCCACATGTTTTCCACACCTCCATCTATAAACCTCACAGGTCCTTCAGCCTCTGCCTCCCGACAAGCCGGCTGCCTTCTTGCTAATCAGCAAGAGGTGAGACCACCAACCGCTACTGCAGCTGTCTCCTCGCCCAGCAAAGCTGCAATGGAATAGGAGATTCCACTCTTCACAGCTAGTGGGGCTGGGGGGGCAGCGGCACTCAGCCCCATACGCAGGGAGAATCCAGCTGTCCCCAGCCAGTGACTGCAAACACTCGACCCTTCTGTCTTCACCCCACCCAAGAAGGCTCCAGGGGCAGCTGCCATCAGCGATGTGCCTGGCAGCAGAGATCCCGGGAGGAAAGGGGGAGCAGACAATGTGGAAACATGGGTAGTTTTGGGGTGCATGTATGGAGGAGCTGTTCTAGGGGAGATCACCGCTTAGCATTTTAAAGGCTCTGGGCCTTCTCCTTAGCGGGGGTACATCAGTATAGCTCTGTTGATTTCAGTGGAGTGACCCGGATTTATATTTGTTGGGGTTCTGCCCTTTGTTCTTCAGGGGAACAGCGACGAACAATCCCGCAGGAAGCTACAGTCCTGTTCCTTTCAAGGTGTTCCTCCCTCCCCCCCCGTAGCTGAAGCTCAGGGTGACATCTCAGTCCTTCTCTGCAATACCAATATCCTCTGGGTGCAGCAGCCAATGGGCGAACCTTCCAAAACTGGAATGAATCCCGGCTCGCATGGACCAAGAGGAGGAAAATGAGTCCTAGAGTCGGGGCTCTCTGCCGCCAGCTCAGTCCCATTTTAATGCCTCTGGCAGCCCGCTGTAGTCTGAGGTCCAGAAATCCAGCACAGCCTTCAAACGGGAAGGGAGGGGAACAGGGGAACACTGTGCCAGTCCTTTGGGTTATCATTTGCACTGTGGCAGCACCTAGAGGTCCAGTTGAGACCAGGTTCTATGGTGACGATTGTGCCATCTATGCAGACAGGACAGGCAGAGGGTGGGGGAAGGGGCACAACATATTTTCCCTATTTTACAGATGGAGAACTAAGGCCCAGATCCTTAAAGCTAGTGAGGCTCATTGGATTCAGTGGGAGTTAGGAGCCAAAGTATCTTTGAAGATCTCAGCCTAAGTGACTTAGATCTCTGAACCCAGATCTCTTGAGCCGAACCCAGATACCATCCTTCCTCCCCGTCTTGTTTGCACGGCACAGCTGGCATGGGAGGCATAATAATGAATGGCGAGGTTACAAGACTTCCTGCACCTCCCCTATGCTCCCTGACTGTCTCCCCCCTGACAGGAGCAAGCCCCTGAGTGGACGGTTGGGCACAGGAGCTGGTGGGAACGGCTAGGTTTCCCAGTCCCACGGGATCCTTCTGTTGAACTGATGTTTTAGGTTCACTTTAATCCGCAGGGGAAGGGATGAGCGAAGGAATATGGACGTGGGGGCGTGGGGTTGGGAGAGCAATATCTGATTGACGCTGCCTTGGTGCCAACCTTCAGTCTGCAGGAAGAAGCCTTCTCAAGAAATGCAAATGCCGCGTGCTCTTCCGGCGCGCGCGCCACCCTGCTTGTTCTCTGAATAATTCCTGAGGCTCAAATGTCGGGCATCCAGTCTACTCGCTCTGCTCTGCAGGAGCACCAGCCCTGAGAGCTGTGCAGAGACCGCCATCGGGCCAGAGATTGCTGCCGCCCAGTGCCAAACTGTCTGCCCACTGGGGCCGTCAGCTCTGGTACAGCGAGGGTCTTCCCTGAGCACCGTGGTGGCCGGGCACTTACAGGGGAAATGCTGCATTCTTCAGACACATGTTCCAGGGGGAGATTTTCAAAAGTGCCCACGAGCGTGTCTAGGCTGGAGCTGGAAGTGTTGTTGCCCGTACACTCGTTCTGAGCTGCACGCTAAAAATAGCGGTGGTGGCCGGAGTGGCTAGCTGCCCTGCGTACGTGCCCAGGGTTCAGATGGGATCACCCTTGAGGCAGCTTGGCTCCCCGCACCGTGGCTTTGACGCTGCTATTTTTAGCATGCTATCTCGAGCGTGTCGGCGTGAACTGGAAATTGTACTTCCAGCTCCATTGTAGTCGTCCTCTGAGAGACAGCTGGAGACTGACCTCCAGCAGGACTTGCATCTATGTGACGTAGGAGTACTTCAGAAAATCCGACTGTCCAATCTTCTACAGGCTGAGCTTCTGGAGCATGAGACACTTTGGTTTAAATTCTCAGGGTTCATGCAACACATTCTGTTTGGGCTG